CGAAGGCGGCGGCTGGGAAGGCGTGGGCGCTCCTTCCCCCGCGGCTGACGTGGGCTGGCTCCTCCGCTGCTCCTCCGATTGAGCTGCATCGCTTCTGAGATTTGCCTTCGTTGGCGAGTTTCGAACGGCAGTCGAGTTTGTGAAGCTGCTGTGTGATTAGGCGTTTTCGACTGGGTTTTTTTTGTAGGGTGCTACATGCAGAACCCTCGCGTCTGCATCTGGTAGTTTCTTCAGTCTCCTGCCTGTGCCGGAATATGCTGATGCAGGGCAAGTGGAATTCATAAGGCGTTTTTTCTCCTTTGTATTATAGGGTAGAGTAGATGGATAACAAGAAACGGTTTGTACATTGCGACACAAAAATCCCGTGTCATTGAGGAAAAGGAGCAGAGATCTTTCCCGATTGGTGTTTGCTAAGAAATTTCAAGATGCCCAGGGACTGGGCTTTGGAAATGCCTCCCACGTATATTTAAGAACCTAAAGTTGACCGTTCAGACGAAACCTTTACGTTACTGAATCGGTAATGTAAGCTAGGGGATTGAATATTATACGCAGAATTGAGGAAGTCTTATGCACGAGTTGTTGCTCAATTAGTTTTTATTATTTGGGAAGTAATAAGTCTTCTTATAGTATGCTGATGAGCAGCGTTGTCCTTGTAAAGCTGGCATGGTGACGCTTCATACAAAGGATCACTGCACTTGGAGAGTAAATGTGGAAAACTCTTATGTGAATGATTATGTTGAAATTGCCGTGTTGCACGTGTTGGTGCTACGTAGGTAACTGAAACCTGACACGTGAACTTAAAACGATTAGCATAGGTGGGTTTTTTGATGCTTCTATTGTCTGTTATCTCTGCGTTTTCCAGTAGGTTTATTTAAACAATGTGCCAAAGCAAACACGTGCTTGGGGACATCTGTGAGATTCTGCCCAGAGAATGGATGCTACAGATCGAATACACAGCCTAAATTAACAGTGGTAGATGGGGGGAAAAATTGTAATGAATAAATAAATAGGCAAAGTGATAGATGTCAGATGTCCTTTTGTCATAATGGATAGCTTTTTAACAGTGTGCAGCTCACTTACTTACACTGCCTAAAAAGATGAGCTCTAGGTAGATAGCTAACTTAAATCAGAATTAATTGACAGTATTTTCAGTACAGTGTCCACTCTGCAAAACTATTCTGTCGTTTAGTGTTAGTTGTCTCTCGGTAATGAGTTTGGGAAGAATGAAAACGCTCCCTGAGATCTTGACTGAGGTGATACCTCTGATTGTGATCCCCCTCTCCTCCAGCTATTACTAACAAGTAGGTTCGTAGAAATTCTTTAATAGATCTGTTCTGGGTGGTTGTGGTCACAACTGCGGTCCTGAAAACCCTCAGCCTCTTGTCATCAAGTTCTGAAGGTGCCCAAGCAGCATAGCTAACAGCTTTAAAGTTTCTAGGACATACCTGATTTTTTTCTCCCCTACACTTGTATGAGAGATAATTAGCATGATGCCTGGCTCATGATTGTCTGCTTTCTGGATGTTGTTATTTTGCTATAGTCCCCTGGGGAGTTCAGTCAGGTGAGAAGTCTCTGATCGCGCCCAACACGTGCTGCAGAGTCAGTCTTCTAAAAGTACAGCAACAGCTTTAGAAGACAGTTGGAAGAGGAGGTGCTGCTGCTACTGCTTCTGAAAAACTAATAGCTAAAGCATTTGTTCAGAGTGTGGTAGACCCTGCTTCAGATTTATTTTTTTGCCTGGAGGGACCAACCTGCATCTTCCACTTTCTGGGCGAATATCCCAGTTGCCGAGCTGAGTGTTGTTTTCAGTTCTTCTGGCTGAAGCTGTGTTACTATCCAAAAAAAGAACGCGTGATTTGCTGAGCCAGAAAGAAGATGTATAGGAAGATGTTGTCCTCCAAGACTGGTGATGTGCAGGCTCTGATCCTTGATTTCACAAGTTACTTGTTTTATGTTAGGTGTTCCTTGGAGCAAATGCACAAAGCCTAATATTTCGTGCCTTTTTCTCCCCAAGTGCCTGATCGTTAATCTTCAGAGCCATTCTTATTATGTTCCTTTGTAGGTTGTTTTGGTGGGGTTTGTTTGTTTGTTTGTTTTTTAAATCTAGAGCCTATTTTAAATCGGCCTCAAATAGGAGAGTGAACAGATGCTGCCGGGAATAGAAGTCTGACTTGCAGCTTGTGTATTCTCCTGGAAAATGGAGATATGGGTACAGAGTACTCCACTGGTGAAGGAACTAAGCTGTGTTATTTTCCCTTCTGATCTACTGTCCTGCCTTATAAAAAATGCACAGCAGTTATATTAAACAAACCAACAAACAAAAAGTAGCAGCACTGCTAAGTAAAGGTGGCCTAGGCTCACCTACCATGAAGGTTTGTGGGGTGGGAATCCTCAGAAAGAAAGGAGACTTTTTGTATCTCAAGGTTGGGCGTTCTGGGAGTAGGGTTGAGGCCTTCCATTGACTGTGCTTTCCTAGTGGCCAAAGGTTGACAGCTCCATGCTGAATGCATTGACTTTAGATTATGCCGTGATTAGCATGCTGCCTGTTTACTCAGCCATCTCATGCTGAAGTATCCAGCCTCCTTCTATACCATCTAGGCAGCTTAGGCACTTGGGTTGAAACTAAGGCTTCGAGAGCGAAGCGTATACAAGTGAGGAAGCTGTTGTGTCCAGCAACTGGGTTTCATCTTCCGGATGTGGTCCCAGGGCTTCTGAATGCTGGTTTGTCCTAGTCATTTAGGTAGACTCTGGATTGCAATTACTAGTGTGTATTGTTGACTTACGAAACAGCTCCTTATTATTTGTATGTCCCTATTAATTTTATGGGTAGTATTGCGCTTGTGTGGGCACGCTGGTTTACCCTGGAATAGTTCCATTCTCATCCAGGTAGCAGAGATTTCAAAGATTCTAACTGTGATGTATAGGAGAAGAGACCAAAGTAACTTTTGTTTCATTATTTTTTATTTGGTAATTAACCATTCAAATGAAAGTGTCAGAGAACTTCGACTCTCCTGGACTTCTAAACTCACAAAAGCAGATTTAAGCGTGACACCATAGCTGCAGGATTGGTAACTTAAACTATATGCAGCACTGCCTAAATCATTATATTATCTACGGCTACTTTCCTGAAGGTAGGCCAGTTGTAAACTATTGTTTGATTTATGCATGGGATTTTCTTGGTTCACAGTGACTGCAGTCAGCAGGCAGAAGGAATCTTACAAACCACCTGAAAAAAGAGAAAATTTTGAAACCCCCACGCTAAAGAGTTCCTAGAGTATCGTACTGAGTAGTGTAAACTAGGTACGTTTCATAAACCTGAAGCAGGAAAAGAGCAATTAAAAAAAACCCCCAACTTTATTAAGAATGTTCATAGGGCCCTACGCAAGTGTAATTCTGTGGCGTTTTCTTAATATTTTGGCGTTTGTCTTTCAGAGGGTTCTCATTACAGCCTTGGAGGCAGTGAAGTATTGGAGAAAAACAGTATTAGTGAGCAGTATCTTGGGAGAAGAAAAAAGCAGATTAAATAATTGACTGTGTTAGCTGGGACACTGCAAATTGCCTCTGGTTGATGGCAGCACATCACTTCCTCTGAGTTATTTATTCCTCCAGTCAGCAGTTAGAACCGTTTCTTGCTCCCCAGCCATGGAGGAACTGAGCTGCTGCTGATCCAAAGGACTGCGAGAGGAGTTCAAAATCTCCTTTGCTTGCCTAAAAAAGTTTTAGCAGAGCTATTTCAGGTTGGCGCAGATGTGGGCTACCATGGCATTGTGTAACAAACCCATAATACGGTGGGATGCTGGATCGGTGGACGTGGGGCGAGCAGTGGATGTTGTTCACTCGGACTTTAGCAAGGCCCTCAGCATGGGCTCCCATGCTAGCCCTGCAGCCCAGCTGGTGAAATGTGGACTCATCAGGCGGACTGTAAAGTGGTTGGAAAATTAGTGGGACCGCTGACCTCAGAGGGTTGTCATCAGCACTACAAAGTTGCAGTGGCAGCCGACTGCTAATAGAGGCTCTCGGGGGTTGATACTGGGGCTCGTAATGTTACATGTCTTTACTGACAACCTGGGATGAAGGAAATGGGGTGCATCCTCAGCAAGTTCCCAGATGATTCCAAACCTGGGGGAACGTCAGCCCTGTCATTCGCTGAGGGGATCCCGACAGAAATGGGCTCCCAGGAACCTCATGACGTTTGACAAAGACAGATGGCAAGGCCTTCATCCGTGACAGAATGACCCCACGTACCTGCTGGACAGCAAGTTGAACCTGAGTCAGCAGTATGCCCTTGAGGTGAAGGCGGCCAACAGCATACTGGGTGGTATTAGTAAGGCTGTGGGAAGGATGTTGAGGGAGGTGTTCTTTCCCTCTCTATTCAGTGCTACCAGAACTGCATCTGGAATGTTGTGTCCAGTTTTGGCCTCTCCAGTACAAAAAAAAGGTGGTGCTATACTGGAGTGAGTCTTGTTGGGGGCCACCAAAATGCTTAGGGAGCTGCGGCACATGGCTGAGAGCGTGGGGTGTGTTCATCATAAAAGCAAATACATACCTAATGAGAGTATAAAAAAGGTGGAGCAAGGCTCTTTTAGGAGGTTCATAGCAATGGAGAAAGAGGTAACGGACTCAAGTTGCAAAAGTGGAAAGTCTGACTTCATATTAGGAGAAATCTTTTTAAGTGTGACGACAGCCATGTGCCGTAAGAACTTCCCCGAGAGGTCCCCATCCCTGGAGGTGCTCAAAACCCAGGTGGACGCAGCCATGGGTGACCTGCTGTTCTTGTGTATTTATATTGTGTAGCAATGGTACGTCTACGATAACGCTGAACGGGGATATTGGTACTGTCATGATAGAATGGGGAGGAGATGCTACGTGGAATGTGTTTCTTGGTCTGTACTACTAAAAAAACGTAACGAAAACTCTCCTCTGTGCTGTGTGTAACATATGTGCTGAAGAATTACTGAGTGCCCGTGGTATTTTTCTGATGAGAAATTCTAGCCAGTAGCCAGAATTTATTACTTTTTAGGGTATTAAATTACTTACCTGTGAAGTTTCATGACCAACTACCCTAAATTTGGACATAGGTTTGTTTTCCCTTGTACAGATCTCTCGTGCCAGGTGTCTTCCCTTCTTGCCACTACATTCCATCTTTCATTTTATTTTTATTTATAGTGCTGCTTAAAAAGCTTGACTTGCTTTCTCCTTAGGCCTGAACAGGTCTTACCTGCCTGTTAGAACTGTCTAACTGAAGGCACAATTTAAATACACCTTTTAAGCCAAAGAGATGTTAATTTTGCTAACAGTTGAGCCACTTGAAGCTGCTGTGATTTGCGGCTATTTATCACCACCTCTGGTGGGAGTTTGTTATACCAGCTACCCTGTCTGGTGGAAGAGACAGGGTAAGTACTCTCTAAACCCCTTTAAAATAAGTGTCAGTTGGGCCATCTTAAAATTGAGTGGAGGCAAGTATGACCTGGCTTGTTTGACTATGCCTGAAGCATAAGTAGTTTCGCAACTTGCCGATGCAGTATTTGTCATTGTGGTAGTCTAGATTACTGTACAATAATAATTATTAATAAAAATATTTTCTCTGAACTATGATATTTGCTTTATTTTTGTTGGAGAGTTTACAGGTACGTTCCTCTTCTTTTGACAAGAAAATACTTTAGATGTTTTTTCTCCCCTTTGTCTAGGAAATGCGACAGCACCAAAGCTTTTGTATTGGGGCAGCAGCACTAATATTCCCTGGGGGGTAGTTTCCTTTGAGTTTCTATAACTCATCCCATAATTGCGTGTTGCATTTAATTACAGTGCCTTTGCCTGTGTTTGGCTTGGCTGTGACCACCAGGCTTCTTAAAGTAAGCATAAGTTCATTTTTAGAGTCACCTTTCTGGGAAAAAAATGTGTAAGCTGACACATGGACACCGACATGCACTGAAGTCCCACAGCTCGGTTCCAGCACGCACACTGGCTTTGCTAATACCTGTGCCAGCTGAAAAACTTCTTTGTCTTTGCTGAAGTTGTTTATTATTGTCTCCAGAGCTCCTCTCTTGGAAACATTTGGGTGACTTTGGTTTTAGTTATGATTGTATTTTGAATCAAACTTTTGAAGCAGGTGAGTCTCGTGACTCGTTCCCCTATTAAAACTCAAGGTCTGGTGACCACCAAGACTAAAGTAAACCAAGCAAAGGGTTAAACTGTTCAACTGGCCTTTCCTTGGAGAGTGGATTACAGGTCTAGTGAGGAGGCACTAAAATATTTACGGTGACAACATTTTAAGTTGGTGACGAGAAACTATGCCAGTATGCGCAAGCCTGTAATATAGGTGCATTTGTAGCTGAGCTAAGCAAATGTAAATAAGGTTTAAACTGGCTTAAGTGTAACTGTATTAGGGAATTAGTGTAGTGCAACTAGATACGCGTTAAATTTAAGTTATAACGGTGCGCCTGTTCTAATGTCAGCCCTTTTGTTATCAAAGTTAATGTACAGAGTGGTAGAATATATACAGATTTGCAGATTGCAAGACTGCAGTTGCAGTTACCTGCAGTTGCTTAAAAAAAAAAAAAATCTCTATGTGCAATGGCAATTTTTCATCTTGCTGTTAAGAGAACAGTGTTTGGAGTTACTTTCTATATGTGTGTGAGATTCTCTTGGTTTTGTCGGTTGAGCTGTAATGAAAAATTATGGCCAGAAAGACGTTGCTGCCCCTTACGACTGAAGATTACTGCCCTGCAGCAGAGGTGAGCCTACCTTGGCTTTACAGTTTCAGAATACTGCCTTAAAATGTCAAAGAATACAACAACAGCCGCTGCTGCAGCTGAGGCAACTGTGCCCGAGAGTCACTGCTTTCGTTTTTCCTAGGCACAGATTCTTAATTCTAGTCAGGAAGCGTACGCAGCAGGGTTACATGTGCCCTGTTTAAAGTAATTGCAGGTTCTGCTGATTTAGATGAATTGTGAGGTTTAACTTTTATATGCTAGACAATGTCTATGTACGACACTTAAAATGTAGGAGGGCTTTTGAGTTTTGCTGAAGTGCCAGATGATCACAGAGCGTGACTGAAGGTGATTCTTCAGTTACTTCATTTTAACTCTCTTGCTCAAGATTGCGAATGAGATAGCCTGTTGAGTGTGCGACAGGATTGGCGTATTACGTTTTGCAAAACCACTAGCACGTCGTCAGGTAACCTCAGTTTGTAGATTAGGAGGATAGAAAAGGTATTTGGTAGGGAGTGTGAGAGTACTTTGCTACCTTTTGCTAACACCACATTTAATTTAAAAATTTAACTCCAGACTTCTTGTTTGAAGATTGTGATTTGCTTTGGAGTGCCACCAGAGTGGCAGGAATGAAATTTTGTAGCAGTGAGTAGTTCATTTTGTGAGATAAGCTTTAAGTTACCTATAAAGCCTTGTCTGCACTAGAAAGCGTGGGACGTGGGGGGTGGACATCAGCAAGCTGTGAGTTGCCCTTGAGTGGCGCTTCACCGCTGTTTCAGGAGTTGTTGCAGCATTTGGCTTGTCCTTGCTTGCGTTTTACATCCATAACGCATCCTCGCTACTACGTGCCATAGATTAGCCTGGGATGCTCTGTGTATTTGTGAGTGCTTTTAAGCAAAGCGGCACTGGAAATGTTTGATTTGTTGCTGGGAGTCTACTATATTATAGGATGTAGCAAATTGGTAGTATGGGGGATGATACCTCGAAAGCTTTTGTATGTGTAAACTTATTTACTGTAAATGCAGGAAAGAGGAAGAGTTTGCTGTTTCTCTTACATTTGATGTTGAAATTCTGTAATAAATTGGGTCTTTCTGTATAGAGAATACCTATAAATAAGGTAGACAATTTTATGCCTCAACTGTGTATTGAAATCCTAAATATAAAATGTATGTTATCATACTTGGCTAAATCTGGTAACTTGTACTAATGGCCTCAAAAAGACCATCTGGTGCTGTAGAAAATGTATTTCTTCATCATTCTGGTTTTGGAAACATCAAACTTCTTGCATGAGCAGTTATCCTGATGCCATGTTGTTTTAGCTATTGGACTTGTTAAGTAAGAATAATAGGTTTAGGCTATAGGGTTCCCTTACCGGGAAAGAAAGCCTGAGCAGCATTTCAGTAGTTCTGCGCTGTCTGCGAAACTTAGCTGCGGGCACGCTGCAGAAGTGCAGCAGTCTTTCAGTGCAAACGCGTTAACCGTACTTTCCCTTCTTGGATTAAGACTGAAATCCTTTAAAACTGCTTGCAAAGTTGTGAAAGCAAGTAGCCTCCTTAATCTTACATTGTTGGGGTTTGATGCTGGTAGATTTCGGTCTCAAAAGTATGCTCGGTGATTGGCAGCGCCCGTCGCTGATCTCTGCTGGGGATTAACTAACTAGAGCCTCGTGTAGCACTTCCTACAAGGAAGGAAGGAAGGTGCCTTGTACTTGGTGTTCTGTTGCGTACCGTTGTCCCTGTGTCAACCAGAGGTGTGGATAAAACTTGAGATAAAACCATTCGGCGTCACAAGGATTTAACCTAGTGGGGTAGACACCGATTTATCTGTCGGGACACACGCTGGCTTTTTGCGCTCAGATGGAAGTGATAATGATGGGTACAGATGTGCGAGTAGAGCCAAAATGTAAAACAGCAACTGAATTTCCCAGGGATGTTTATTCTAAAGCTGATTAGACTCAGGAAAATAAAGCGTACTTCAAGCAATAAGAAGGAAATACACTGGCATCTTGAATCATAATCATGATTCAAGAAATGAATTCATGATTTTTAGAAATAAATCTGAGCTAGTCCAGTGGCCTTAAATAAAAATACTGTTTTTCAAATGTTACATAATTGATGATGTTTCTGTGTCATGTTTTTCATATTAAGTCATAAGTTTTATTGTCTTTTTTCTGAATGAAATCTCAAACTCTGCTGTCCTACGTCCCAGTTGAAACCACTCCCTAAACAGTAAAAGCAGAGTTAGTTTAAGCCAGTTTGAAGTCTGTCCCACTGGCAGAGACACTCATGTCACGTTTCAGTTGCTACTCCTGCTTGTGCATCCGTGCCAGCGCAGCCACGTGGTAAGCGGGACCAGAGATCTGCCCCCGAGGGGTAGTCCTCTCCATCAGTCTCCAGACAGATTTTTGGCGGGATGTATTTGATGGAGCCCTGGTGGAGTTTGTCGCTTGGCTGCGTGCGTGTGCTAGCGGCAGTGCAAGGGAAGATCTTTTTAATTGCAGTATGGACACAGAAGGGAGGAGTTTTATTTCTTCCATCGTGCTCGCTCTCTCGGGCCAGTTCTGGTGCGCCGAGCCAGTTGAACTCATTACTCCAGCGAAGAAACGTGCACTTTTTGCCAGATGAATGAATTCAGCTAGTACGGAGAGTAGACTGCTATGCGCCAGAGCTGGCACAAGGTAGCCGTGGGGTATGGAGAGAGGACAGAAATTCCCTTTTCATGGTTGGAAGTGGTTAGATTGATCTGTTCGCTCACGGTGAACATCACCATTAGGTGCAGGTTTTCTTTCTTTTTGAGGACTTACTGGTTCATATGTTTTAATAACTTGGTACTTGGAAATGGGAAGCAAAGAAACCTCTGAGAAGCCTGGAGGTAAAAACGTGATGCTTTTCTGAGGTGTGCCTGTAGTGAAGTGGAAATTAGCTCTTTTATCTGGTTGTGTATTTTGTGTCTCTGACAAATTCATGTTAGCATATGACCTTTATATAAACTTTTTTTTTTTTAGTATGTCCTGCACTCTATAGTGGGATTTGCTTAAGCTTCTGAGATTGCAGTCAACAGAGTTACAAAAACAGATGCTTTCCAGTAATGCATCATTGCTGAGTACTCCTGCCAGCAGTTTTCCTCCCCTATGCTATGAGAAAAACCCCTTACAGGCTGGGGAAGCTGTCCTATTCCGTAAACATTTTTGGCCAAGAAGTAGCCTGCTTTTAAGTTTGGAAGTTGAACTGTGAGCATAACCTATTGATTTTTTGGTTTTCTTTATATAAACCCTTAGAAGAAATGGTATCGTAACGCAGTAAATCACAAGACCTGCTTGCTTGCTGGTTAGTGCTTCTCCCTGCATACCTTTTGCTCGGGACTGCTCGGGGCAGCTGGGACTGCTCGGGGCAGCTCGGGACTGCTCGGGACGGCTCGGGACAGCTCGAGACAGTGTGCGTTAATGCGGCCGTTGGCCGTTACCATAGCATCACAGAATGGTTTGGGTTGGAAGGGACCTTAAAGATCATCTAGTTCCAACCCCCCTGCCCACCGTTGCTACGGGGCTTGTTACACAGACTCCGGTCGGTCCTGTGGAGCTGCAGACGCTCAGGCGGTTGCACCGAATTTGAAAACCTGTTGCAAATACCTGTTCCTAATCCACTGGGCCTTTTAAATGGATTTGGTTGGTTTGTTTCGTTCTGCGTTCCTGCCGAAATTCTAGGATGAAACGAGCGAGGAAAAAAGCCCTTACTGCCGGCGCTCTCAGTCGGCTGTGGTCAGTCAGTCGAGGAGTAAGACGTTCACTGGCTAAAACGCTGCTGTGCGTGCTCTTCGTTGCCTTCTGGCGTCTTCTGCTTCAGGTATTAAGCTTAGTGACTCTGTAGCCTGTCGAAATGAGGAGTTAGGGGTGCTAAAGCCGCCTGCCAGCGCCATTTCCTGTGCTCCCGACGCCAGGCCGGGGCTGGGAGTGGGAGAGTTCCTCCGCAGCACTGTGTGTGGTGTCGCTGTGGAGAACGAAGGTGTTCGGGAAGGGGCGGGGACCTAGCTGTGGTTTGAGGAGATTGGGATCTCAGTGGTCCGCCTGGATTCGGCTGGAAGAATAAGCCTTTTGGGGTTATTCAAGGGTGTCTAATTGCTTTATTAACACCTGTAAGTTGGTGTTTGATGAAAGGCTTCAGTAAGTGATCCAGGCTTCTGTCCTCATTTGTGTGCTGAATTTTTAGAGAAAGTTGAATGCAGCAGAGTTGTTGTTTCAGAGTCGTTTACTAGACTGTAACTATTACAGGCTCGAAGAATGTTCTCAGTTTTCTACACCTGAATAACGGTTTTGACTAGAAAATTTTGTTGTCTGAACTTGGGAAAATACCTGAGTACCTTCGATACCTGTGTTAGCAACTGACAATAGAGTTCAGCCAAAATCTGGTTAACTCTTAGTTACTTCTGAGAGTGTTGAAATTGCTGAGTTAGCTTTCAGGTTTGTTCCCAGCTTGCAGAGTTTAGCAGCTGGTTCGGTGGCTGCAGTCGGTATAAGGGGGAGGGAGGTTGGAGCTGCAGACAATCTGCTGTGCGGGGTTGGGATTTGACAGGAACGTGTGTTGAAATTTTGAGGGCATGATGAGGAACAAGTGACTGCCTAAGACAAAGTGGTAAATACATATTTCTTAAATGTAGAATGTAAGCATTGCAAATAACTGGTAAATGTCGAAATGGAAGTGGCTTTTATGTATACACTAATTGTGGAATATTAAGGTTTGGAGATCCAAAATTTTTAACATGGCATGAAATGAAATGCAAACAAAATGGGCCTATTTTAACAGTGAGGATTCTGTTATTCCGCTACAGCTGTGTTCCTTCTAGGATTTCTTTGAGGATACCCTGCCTGTTAGAGGGTAACAGGGTGGTTTTTTTGATACATGTTCTTACTGCAGTTCAATATTAGAAAAATTAAAAATATTCAAGGTCATTGATCTTATCAGCTATTATGGTTATCACTGTCACTGTAGATAGCTGCTGAGCTTCTGGTTTTGGTGGCTTTTCGAGTGAGGGCATTAAGAGAAGGAGTCCTCACAAAAAGTATGTACATCAGGAGTTATTTAGAAATAGAATATCCTGATGGTCTTATAACTTGACAAGCCTCTGGTGAACTTGGGCTGAAATTTCATAATTTTGTACATTGTCAAGGTCCCTGGGAAGTGCAGACACTGGTAGGTTAGTAGTAAATCAGTGTTAGGTGAGTTTTGGTCATGCATGTTCTGGAAGTATAGACAGCCTAAGTCAAGCATCAACCCCCTCTGTTTTATTCCTGTTCTGAGTATTTGCTGTCTAATGTCTGTCTTGCAGGGCTGTGCAGGGTTTTATCCCAGCTGTTGACTGTGTTTCTGTGATTAACAAGTGTTTTTTCTTCCAAGCAGGGGATCCTTAACAGAGTGACAGAATCGGTGAAAAACATTGTACCGGCATGGTTGCAGAAATACTTCAAGAAAAAAGAAGCTGAATCTGTAGATGCAAATGAATCTGTGAACCAGGAAGAGAATCCAGAAAACTATCACCACGATTATGCAAATGAAGATAACATCATGAGTGATGAGAGAGTCGCGCCTGAATCAAGAAGAACTAATTTAGAAGGTATGTGAAAAATCATTTAGTATTCTGGCCATCTGTATTTATTCACAGATTTCTGGTTTTCAATCTACATTTCTAGAGGTAGCTGGAAGTAGTGTTTTGACAGAATTAAGAAAAAAACCCAAACAACACCCCACAACAAAAAAATACCCCAAAACCACAACAAAACCACCCAAAAAGCCAAACTCCCTTCCCCCAAAAAACCCCAAAACAAACAAACAACACCCCAACAACTGTTTGTGAAACTGTCTTTGCTTTAAACTGTAAACATGATTTCAAAACATACTGGAGGTTGTCTTACAGCTCTTAGAATTCATTAGGTAACTTCAGGTAGTCAATTAGACAGGCACAAAATATTGATAATACTAATTTGCAAGTGACCTGGGTTAAAGTTTCTTTTTGAAAGATATTCTGTTGTTGGCAAGCTGAAAAACAGTGAGGAAATACTCTTGTCACCGATGTCATCTAATTGTAAATAAGAAGCTATTGCTTTCTGCATAGCTGTAGCTTGAGAATAAGTTTGGATAATGGAATAGTGAAGGTCTTCATAAATGAGGAACACGTGTTGGTTTTCCTGAAGAACTGTGTGAAAGGACCTTTCAGTATGAACAGCTGCAGAGTAAACTTCTTAACTCCAAGGAATCAGGAGCAGATGGACACCCTAGAACCTTTAGTAGCCTGTGTTGCAGTCTGTGGTTTTTGTAGTCCAATCTTTCTTGCTATACTTAAGAGATTAATTATTTATTTTTAATAATTTTAAGAAAGCCTGCTTTTTCAGCTCTGAGGTACCAGTGTGCTAGGGCCTATATTCCTTTTGCCTGGCCAGCCTTCAGCCTGATGCTTTGTTTATATCAAACTAAGCAGTCCTAAAAATCTACCAGTGTTATGGAGAACTAATTACTAGTATTGTGGTGGTTATGAAGATTGCCTTAGCTAGTTTAAGCTTTAGTGCAAATATCAAGAGGACAGAGCCCAAAACCATGTTAATTCCCAGAGTTCCAGAGATAGGCTGTGGATTTACATGGGTATCAGACAAAATCTGCATTAATAGCTGTTCCATTCATTTAGCAATTTGGAAGTGTGACACCCTGTCCTGCAGGACACTGGCAGTGTTTCCAGGCCCTTTGGTTTATGAGGGAAAAAATGCTCATCTTGTCACCGAGGCCAGGGTGCTTACTTGTCCTTTGTACCAAAATCTTAAAAGTTAATGGATAGGAGATGATGTTTTATCTTGGCGCTGGTGAGGCCACATCTTGAATACTGTGTTCAGTCTGGAGCACAAGTCCTGTGAGGATTGGCTGAAGAAACTAGGGTTGTTTAGCCTGGAGAAGAGGAGGCTCAGGGGAGAACTTGCTGCTCTCTACAGCTACTAGCAAGGTGGGTGTTGGTCTCTTACCCCAAGTAACAAGTGATAGGGTGAGATGAAACGGCCTCAAGTTGTGCGGGGAGGTTTAGATTGGATATTAGGAAGAATTTCTTCACCGAAAAGGTTGTCAAGCTGCCAGGGAAGTGGTTGAGTCACCATGCCTGGATATATGGTATAGACATGGTGCCTATGGACATGGTTTGGTGCTGGACTTGGCAGTGTTGGGTTAATTGTTGGACTCTATGATCTTAAGTGTCTTTTCCAACCTAAATGATTCTGTGATTCTGTGTTTTGCCTGCAGCATGACATGATACGGTGGATTTGTGGTGGCAGGCACCAAACCAAACAAAACCCCCCAAGCCCCCCTGCAAATACACATTTTCATGTTATGTATTCAGATTAACATCACCTTTATTAGAAGATTATATAAACTGTAGATCTGTCTGTAATCTACATGGCATAGATCTTGCCATGTAATCTCAAATTTTGGAAAGCTTATTGCAAGCTTTTTCTGTAAGAAGTTGTTTATACACGTTTGATTTAGTGAAAGACCAGAGCATGGGGTCAGAATTTGGTGCTGTAAAACCTCGTCACTGACGAATACTTAATGCATCATTAATACTTAGTATTGTAAGCGGTGTTGCTGTTTCAATCAGATGGTTAGCTGAAACCCTATGTGGGTAAGGAAGAAGTTAAATTCGGCTTCTCTATTTTTGTGCTTAGAACTTGTCAATAGTATGACTCTTGACAGAAAACAGGTTTTGGCTTCTTTGAGCTTGCTTATAGGAAAGCGCATCATCTCCCTGTTCTTGTTTAGAACCATCCACGAGTAGATCTGCACTGAACTTCTCAGATGTGTTAACAAGGCCATCTCTTCAGCGGAGCCATGTGAACTGTACCATGTTGGATTCCACCGTACCACATTGTCAGCCCTCTACATCTTCCTCATTTGGCATTGGCAGTCCTGGATTTTCTCTTGTAAAAGAAATAAAAGATTCTACCTCTCAGCATGATGATGATAACATCTCAACAACCAGTGGCTTTTCCTCTAGAGCATCTGATAAAGGTAACTTGTTCTCTAATTGATTTTTTTTGGTAATGTGAAGTACTTTGCATTCTTTAACATTCCACATCACTGTAATAAATAAAGTAGATGAGTATCAGCTTTGGATGTTAGAAAAAAAATTTAATTTTTAGTATTTCAGACCTATATAGTCATGTCACTGTTTTAATATAACCATGCTTTCGAATACATTTATGAGACCCTGATGTTTACAAGGATTTGGTGCTGATAATCACGCTTTCAGCTAGGTTATCTGTAAATCTTGAACTGGGATAGTAGGAACTGAAGATGACCTGCTGTAGGTGTACAGCTAGGCTGATTGCCTGGAAGGAAGTGTGGCTCAGAATATCTAACCGTTAGCTAGTTAAATGTGAATAGATACAGGTGACAAATAGAAACACAAGATACTTGCCTGTGTTTTGACCATGAGTCAATACAGGAACTATTCTGACTGAACAAGTTCTGGGCTGCTTTTTTGACCTTTTTTTGTAGCAAGTATCAGTTGTCAATACTGCCCTGTCTTGCTGAATTCAGTAAGGAATGTGCACCATTTTTAAAGTAAAAAAACCAAAGCGTTGTATTGATGAAGTTGGGGACCTACAGGATCTCACTGAGGAAGGGCAAACAGCAGATTTGCAGCTTTTTCTAGTCCCCCATGTAAAGGGGGATTGAGGAGTGTTCAGCAAGTTCTCTGAAGAATGTATTTTAACAATTGGAGTAGATGTTGCCGGGCTTTAGCAATATAACCTGAGTTTACTAGAACTTTCTGGTGTGTGTCCGTAAAACATATGTGGGAAATAGGCCCTTAACTCTGAGTTCAGCCTTCAGGGAACTTCTCAGGTTTAAAACCTGTGCAGTTCTGACCTACATTGGCCTCCAGCTCTTTACCAACGTAAGAAAAACTTTGTCACGCACCAATGATGCACCAGTGTTTATATGTTTTCCTTTTATTTTACCCTGAAAGAAGAAAACCAAAAAATCGCTCTGTATTGGAAGTATACTATTAACTTACTTTGCATGCTTTTGAAAGATCACTGAAAGGTAACATATTTGCAGCTCTGTGAGCAGATTTCAGTTCAGATGTGATCCTTGGCTTTCGTACCACATACTAAATTGATCTGTTTGAGGAGCTCTGAATGTTAGAGTGCTGGAGAGATGAGTGTTAGGGGACTTCTTTGTTCTGTAAGACTTTTTTTTTCTGTATTAAAGAACTCTAAAGATATTTACACATTAAAGAACTCCAATATGTGACGTTCTCTGTGTACACAAGGCATTTACGTATTGCACGTGTCATTTTGGCAGATGTCACCGTTTCAAAAAATACTTCAGCACCGCTGCTCTGGTTCGCAGAGGCTGAAAGATCTCATCCCTTCTCACACCATCCTGCAGCTAGCTCTAAAAAACCTGCATTTAATTTATCTGCTTTTGGATCTCCTTCTCATGTAAGTACTGCACAGTATTAATTTTAATCAGTTTGAATGTGTAGCCATTTTACTAACGACATACTGTAATACTTTTCTGTAGTCACTTGGAAACACTTCTGTCATCAAGACAAGACAGCTTGGGAATTCTCCATTTTACCCTGGAAAGACCACTTACGGTGGGGCAGCTGCAGCAGCAAAGGCGACAAAAGTGCAAGTTGCTCATTGTCAGGTATGAGAACAGTAGTGCGGTGTGAGCGGAAAGCGTAGTTGCTGTATAGAAGGGGTAGCACTGCCAAGAGACATATGAGCAGGAAGCTCACAACAGCTCAGAAATGTGGCAACAGTTCCTATTTTATCCTCTCAGCCTATAAGAGTAGAACAAAAAAACAAAACCCAATTTCTGTTTAAAATCTTTTTTTAACAGTTTACGGAGAAATACTTGTGATAACATGCAAGAATAAGTAGCGTCTTAGGTTCTGGCTATTTTGTAGTTGGGATTTCCCCTGTTGCAAAGTCTTGTAAAAAAATTCCATTTTCTGCCATTCTCTGCCTCTATTATGTCAAAATAACATGGAAATAAAACCAGTGATGGCATAACTTTGAAAAGTTGTGTTTGTAGTATCAAAAGCTGCCTGCCCCTTACTTGTCTGTAGAGCTTGCATATGCATGCTCTGAATATGTTGTATAAAACTGTGCACTTTTTACTACAGTAGTATCTAAAAGGCAACTTTGCTGATCCTTTGCTCACCTGATACCTAGATGCAGTCCTCAATGCAGTCTCAAGATAAGCAATAAATGCTTTCTATTTTAATATCATTCAAATAGCTCATGAAAAGAGTTACTTGTCCCTAAGTTCTTTGTGTTCTAAAATGAACCATTAAAATGCACCAGCACATGAAAAATGCTGACAACTCTCAGTAGCTAGAGTTGAATCTAAAAGGAAGTTAATGAAATCTGTTTCAGTTGGAATGTGTTTAAATCAAAATTACCTCTATTTAAAAAACAAACAAACAAACAACAACAACACCCTCCCCAACCATATTAAAAGTCAAAAGGAACTTTAAATAAAGAACTGGGAATAAGAGTTTGCTGCACCTATTATGGCAGTTGGTTTACCGTGGAACAAAGGGACCTACAAGTTCCTAATTTAGGGGAAACTTTGAAAACTTGGGGTTTTCTTGGTGTTAAATCAAACTTCAGATCACTCAAAACTTTGTGTAAGCTAGGAGCACTCTTTAGTCAGCTATTTTTATTTTTGACAAACCAAATGTGGATTATGCTGAAAAGAGGACCCAAATTACTAGGCTTTTAAAGGAGAGACTAACTTGGTTGTTGCATGCTGTGGATTACAGTGAGTCTCACTTGTGTTTTTCACGTGCTGTATGGTCTGCTGCCTGTCTTCTGACGGCAGCGTGGTAAGCGCGGTGTGGTTACGGGAGGGGTTTAACATAACAAAAAAAAAAGTCACACCAAAAGAAGTTGTTTCCCCCCCATTTTTTTTTTAATTAACTGAAGTCACATGGTGCAAATAAAACCGTTTACTATTTCAGTGTAATATGTTTAGATTTGTTAGAGTTCAGGTGACATCTTTATCTGTGAAAAGATACGTAGTCAGCTGTAATCTTGTGGGAAGGGAGGAAATGAGAGAAGTAAAACTAGAAATTCCTGGTGATGATTGTATACGTTGGTTTTAAGACAGCACAGTTCCACCATCATGAAACTGAGATCTGTCTTGTAACTGGATGTACTTTCAGCAGCACAAGCCGTTGCTTCAGTTCTGGTTTCTGATCCTGCAGGCCTAACATTTTCCCTTTTATGTTTAAATACTTCTTTTGTTGCTTTATCCCATGTACAGGATATGTGGGGCCCCACTTAAACTTCTATAAAATCAGTAGAATATATTTTCTTCTTCATGGCTTAAATGCTCAGTGAGTGCATTTTTCTCTGTCATCACAAGAGCATTGTTTATATTATCAATGTAGCTATAGGTCATAAAATACGTCCACATTTAATTCAAAATAAAGCATTGTAACACTTGCAATGCTCTTTTTTCAGCCACCAATAAGAAGACAAATGAAACCTAAACAAGCAAGTGTGCAGTCCTATGGTGTGAGAAGTTCCACAGCGCGGCACATCTTGCAGTCGTTGGAGATGATGTCAAGTCCTTTGACGGTAAATGGCACTTTTTTTAGTCTGCTTTATTTCGTGTATTTGAAAAACATAGGAGATGTGCCAGTACAGAACGGAAATCTTCCTTATGTAGTGTCCAGTTTAATTTATTGCACT